ACAACAAATTTCAACTATAAATTCATCACGGATCTTAAGATATCACCAAAATCCTAACAATAGCTTCAAAACCTAGTTTTCATACACTCACATGCAATTTTCTTCATTATTCACAAAGTAAGCATTCAAATACTATAATTTTTTATTTATAGACTCTTAAAATAATAATCTACCTTCTTCAAAAGGTTTGAGTCAAAAATTCGTCCAGAAACTCAAGATATGGTTCCAACCATTACTTTGAATAAAATCACTTACTTATTGCTTTTGATTTGAATGCAATGACTTCAACCTTCTATAACTTCTTCATCCAAATTCATCAAATAATATATGAAAAGTGTAGTCAAGAAAGTGTTCTCTCCAATCCCAATTGCCGATCCTTTGTTGCTCTTTGTATACGTATGTTATGCTCCAAAGAGTGACAGTAGATATGAAATTGGAACCTTAACTTTGAGCACCAATAACTCCTTCTTAAAAACTCCAAATCATACAAAATTTTCATCCAATCCATATCCAAAAATCTAAACTTGCTGACCTTGGCCTCCAAAGCTCGAATGATCTCTTTGAAGTTACTAAAACTCTTAGTAAGGTCGTCGGCAGCCTCATCAAAGCTTATTGGGCATGGTATTTGACCAATAGGAATGAAGTTTTCCATTCCTTGCCATTATCTGACCATGCCTTGCTTTCATCCCTTTCAATTAGCCTCCTATTAGTTTAGATTTTCATCCTTACGCTTCCACCTTCTCCCAAGGCTTCATACTAAATATTTAAGTCTTATATTTTTTTTAATGCAAAAATAAAAACAAATAAAAAAATAAAGTAAATTTTCTTATATCCACTTCTTTTAATTTAATCTACTAACTACTGTAGCACACATTTAGATTTATTAACATATTATATGTTCTAACTAATTTTTACATATTATAAGTAATTACAATATGATATCATGATCTTTGTTGTAAAGATAAAGGCTTGGTCTGTATTATTCTTACTCAATCATTTTTTTAGATTGTAACTATAAAGACTTCTAGAAATGAAATCAAATCATAATAAAGTTATGAATCATTTTCCATTAAAGATATAAACAAAAAAAAATTACTTTTAGATAGAAGTGCATCATAAATCCAACTTGAGTAAATCCATCAAAATATTGGAAGAGATGCAACTTTAAATAGAACTTGATTTTTTGTGAAAATCTTCAAAATTTTGATCTTGTTCCATCAAATCTCTCAGGCATATTAATCCTTATTCTTTTTATACTTATGGAAAGAAAACTTCCTAGATTTAATTGTGATGTTAATTTACTTACTTCCATCAACTGTACAACTTCTTCATATAGACTTTGAACTTCTTTTATAGATGTAGGATTAGTGTTTATATAGTTAATACCAGTGATGCATGAAATTTCTATCCTAAGAGTATTGAAAAGTTCTTGAAGATTAATAATAGTTATAAATCTATTTTTATTTTTTTCAAGTATAACATCTATAATATTTCATTCTGTTTCAAAAAAATTAACAAATTTATAAATTAAATTAGAAGAAGATAATCCGCAACCTCTAATATTAAATAAAAAATTTTAAAAAGAAGGATAATCCACTCTCTTTAAAAAGATATTAATGTTAGAAAACTAAATAGTTTATTTAAAGATAGATAATCTACAACTTTCAAAACACAATAATAGAGGTAGAGTAATTTATTCACTTTTTAAAGAAGTCAAGAACAATTAATTAACATTCTTGTCAAATTGTCAAGTACATGAACTTCAAAGAACAAAAATGACAATATACTCTTGTATCACTCAAAAAGACTAGAAAATCACTCAAAGATTATATAGTATTAAATTAAAATGGCTATTGCGAAAGATAAAAAGACTAAAAAGTCTTAAAACAAGACTAAAGATTAAAAAATTATTGAAAAGAATAAAGAAGACTTCACTATTGCTTCCATATATATTCTTAATTAGGACTACATAGCAATGTCCTATAGGACCTCCAAAACATGTTGACTTTGTAAAATAAGTATCTTAACTTACAAGGCAAGTTTTTTATTTATGCACCACATAGTTAGCTTGTTCTAGAATCGACTAACACATCATTAATTTGTTGACCAAGTTTCAAACCTATCAATCAACTATAAATACATATAAAATCAAATTAGTATTTTATAGATAAATCTATTTTTTATATTTTTACTTATTTATATAGATAAATATTAGAATAAATATATATATCCGTGAAACCTTCAAATGGAATAAAGATCAAACTATGTAACAAAAATAATTTGTTGCATCTTGGACTTCTTCAACATATGATAATTATTTCTTATAGAATTCATCCCTAAAAGGTGGAATAATGTTATGAATAATAATATTAATTTAGAGGAGTAGTATTAAATAGAAGATAAATATATGTAGATATAATATTATCTTGTAGCAAAACTTCTTAGAAGCTTTATAGATATATATTTGACTTTATCTATATTTATAATTAATTGATAGGTTAGAAACTTGGCCAACAAATTAGCCATGTGTGACATGTATAAATAGCTTTAATATAAGCTAACCATGTAGCGTATACATAAGAAACTTGTTTTGTAAGATACGACATGTATCTTATACATTGAACACATATTGGAGGTCCTATAGAACATTGCTATATAGCTCCTAGTTAAATAGTATATATAGAGGCAAGAGTTAAGTCTTCTTTACTCTTGTGAATGCCTTTCTAGTCCTTAGTCTTGTTTGAGGACTTTTGAGTCTTTTTGTCTTTTGTAATAATCATTCTAGTATAATATTTTATCATCTTTGAATGATTTTTTAATCTTTTTGAATAATACAAGAATTTATTGATCTTTTAGTTCTTTGAAATTTATGCCCTTGATAACATTTTGTCTTTTTTGATAATAATGGTGATTATTCTAGGATTGTGTTACTTTTTTAGACATTGTTGAGGGCTATGCTTAGGTTCTCCATAATATATGCCCAATCCTTCATGACAATGTATATTCATCTCTTGTTTAGTAAGAAATTTGAAACATACCATGTAAATTTGTATTAGTTTTTGACTTTGATGAATGAGCTTTTATAAACTTAAAAGTTGTCATTGCAAGTCGACTTGTTTTATTTAACCAAACCTTTATTCTTGGCATCTTTTAAAAAATCAATTATCACATGCATCAATTTGAGTAATAAATTTCTTAATTGTATAAGTTATCAACTTTGTCAACAATAAAACTTTGGCATTGTCTTTCAATCTATTTGGATTGATAAGGACTATTTTATTCTAATCCATATTGTAAGCAAGGTTTTAGAATTCATTAGCATATATGATGGCTAAATATGATCTTTGTTGTAAAGACAAGAATTTAGTATCTACAATCTTTTTTTTATCACTTTTTTCAAAAGTAGGCGTAAAGAGTTATAGGTATGAATTTGTATCATAAAGAAGTCATGAATATTTTTCCATCAAAGATGAAAATTAAGAAAAAATACTCTTGGATAAAAGTACACCTTTGAATTTGCCACTTCTAATACCAAATGAGAATTTATACAAAGAGGGATAATTTACTCTTTTTTGGAAAAACAATTAATATTTAGATAACTTAATTTTTAATTCAAAAAACTTTAGTCTACAATCTTCAAAACAAAATAGTAGGAGTGAGATAATCTACTCATTTTTAAAATATAGCAAAAATAATAAATTAGCTCTTTTATCAAATTGTCACATATGAATTTTAAAAAACTAAAAGATTAATAAATTCTTATGTGAATCAAAAGAATTAGAAAATTCATCAAAGATGGTTTGATACTAAATTAGAATGACTATTGACAAAGATAAATAGATTAAAAAATCTTCAAACAATAGTAAAAACTAAAAAGGCATTGACAATAGTGAAGAAGGCTTCAGTTTTATCTCTATATATATATATTATTTAACTAAGCTACGTAGCAATGTTCTATAAGACCTCCAACATATGTCAAATTTGTGAGATATATATCTTATCTTAAAAGGTAAGTTTTTTATATGAGCACATCATTAACTTGTATTACAAACCATCTATACATGTAACATATTACTAACTTATTGGCCAAGTTTCTAACCTACCAATCAATTATAAACATATATAAAGTCAAATATGCATCTATGAAGTTTTTAAGAAGCTACGCCACAAGAAAATATAAAATCTATCTACATTTATTTTCTACCTATTTTTTCTTATTTAAATATATATATATATATATATATCCATAATACTTTCCTACCTTAAGAATTAAAATTTGTACAAGAATATTAGAAGATTTTAGTACAAATGATAGGAAAGTTGATATATTTTGAACCTTCAAATAAAACATAATTTTAAGGAGTAAATAAATAAATTATTACAAAAAATATCTTTTACATTATTTGGTATATTAAAACAAGGAAAATATATTTCAAATTCAATCTTATATCTCTTAATTTATTAATTGCTATTTCAATAAGAAATGATATTTATTAAGATTGATGTTAAAAATAAATTTCTTTCTTAAAAATATATAACTTATGAATCAAGTTAGTTATATCTTCCATGATTTAGAATAATACTTATAGATAGAAATTTATTATAAAATAGAATAATACTCATAATTAAATAACTATACTTATAATCTTTTTAATCTAATAAGTGGATTTATTAAATTTTCAAAAATGCATGGAAATTTTATATTCATTGTGAAATATTATCCTAGATTTCAAATCAACAATTAAAAATTGCATTAACAAAAAAAACATTCTAAAATCTTTAACCACATCTAAAATGTATAAATTGTGATGTAGCACCTAAAATTGTAATTTGAAATATTCAACGATACATCATAATATAAGCATAATTGTGACCTACAACTTTAGATGATTGATACTTCTTTTAAAATCATTGGAAACAACCAAAAAAATAAAACTTTAGCATCACATTCTAAACCAATCATCGACTTTGAAAACCTTACACAATATTTTAGGTTGGGATTAGATTGGAAGCTGTGAAATCGTCACATTGCAATCCTTAGTCTTTTGTGAGTATATATGAATGACATGATATATTTAAGATAGAACTGACATTCATATCAGAACGCATGACCTGGGATGTGGGGCTGCAGATATTAGAGAGAACATGGATTCCATTAACTAATCTCACTACTTCAAACATGGCCCAAGTTAGTAGATTGTTAAAACCAAAAATGCAACAGTGTTCACGTAGCTGGATGATAACCCTACTAAGAGGCAAAATATTACGGACAGACATCGAATGTCGTGACGTATTAAGCAGTGGGTAGGATATTCAACGCCACCTCTTTAAGTGAAGGCATGGATGCTTGCTCATGAAGAAGCACAAACTTGTGGTCCCCCACCCTCTGTAATACCTGCCACGGTCCTGGATACATCCTGTTTAAAAAGAAAAAAGAAAAACGTAGAAATGAATCGTAATCTAAGTACCATTGTGAAGAATTTGACAAGTTTGATCAAAGATAAAGCATGTAGACTGGGTCAATGATGCTGAAAAAGAAGAAAAAGGAAGCACCTTATGTTATGAAGATTGCAAAAGGACAAAGCAAGTTCCGTAGAAGAAAAGAACTGTATTTGAAAATTTAGATGTCAAAGCCTTACCTGAACAGAACTCCTCTGGACCTTCCCTTGAAGTTATGGATATAATAGACGGTCTCAAACTTCGGAAGGAACTCCTTAGCTATAGAGCCAAGCTTTGGGTAGAAGAAAGAAGGATAATCTAGCACTCTGTCAAAGAACTTACAAGTTCATCACACCAGATTCAGTTGAATTAGAATTAAAAAACAGCATACGAAAAAAAACGAAAACCACTACCACTGTGGTCACTGTTTTATGAAAGGATACACCCACTTCTGATTCGATCAAGCTCTCCGTTGAATACAATGATGGGACGATTCGATGCAGCAGCAGAACCCTTGTAAAGCTCTTCAACAGCTATCATCTCTGCACATAAGCAAGGAGTATGGGCACAAGACTCACGTATACATACTCATCGTGACTCAACATTCATGATAGTTATCAATGTAAAATAAGCTGGCAATACTTCTAGACCACAAAAAGTATATAGTGCTGAGAGGGACGGGAGAGGAAACATCCGAGACTGTCTAGAGGATGCAGTACCATTGACATTGAAATAAGGGTATGCCACTACAAAAACGGTATCTGATGACTGCACACGATCTGCCATCTTCACTTTACTACCGAACCCGAAGTCCTCGAGTCCATTTGGCTTGGTCAAATAATCTAGCTTGAATGATGTTCCATCAAAAATGCTGGTCTTCGCTAATTCCATATCTTTCGCATCTGGGAAGAACTACTCGACATGTATCTCATTTTGTTAAAAGGAATCAACGCACGCTTTGTGAATCAAGATCTCAAATAATTCTCACATAGGTCACAAGGGACTAAATTAAGAGAAACCGATCACCTGATTCCGGAATATTCAAAATTTCACTTTCAGTAGTTCTTGAATTGCCATAATCTCTAGTTCAGTTGTTTTCTACAGCTAATTGGATGACATTATGTAGCTTGGAGGCTCTGAAAAACTTACTATACGAGTTGTGGGAGCTTCATCTTTGAAAATTGTACAGAATTCTTTCATCAGCACAATGCTCGTGTTCATTTCTATGCCTCCCTCTTCATCACCTGCATTCAAAATCCTAGTAAGAACAGTAAAAACCGTTTCACCCCAATTGACCATATCACTCATTTGAATATGCTTGAAAAACCAGACTACAATGCTTAATATATCAATCAGGGCTAAGACGGGGTATGCGATGTTTCTCTAATTTTGCACATGCTAGCTATACACACAAAAGAAACAGAAATATGTATCTATTATTGACTGCTTACCAAGCTGTAAAGAGTAGCGGGTCATTCACCTGGGACAGTATCCAGCCCGGCTGTAGGAAACTCCACTTCCTGTTTCGACCACATAATGCTCATGAAATCTGAAATTCGCAGTAATAATGGGGAATATGCATTTGTTTTGTAAGTCTACACAATCATCACATGCAGAGCTCAAGATGTAATAATCCTTTCCAGAGACCAGTATTTGAGGTTCTCTGGGGTTCAAAAAATAACATACCAGCAAAGTTTTATCATCTTTCAGAGCAGCTTGTGCAGCTCGTCTTGCCTGTGTTGTAAGGAGACATACAGTAAGAATGAAGAATTAAGGTAGATTTACTAAAATGGCATGATTGAATGCAAAGATCACATCCTACGATTCGACATCCTCGGAATATGAATTTCAAACACAAGTCACGTGCTCGTAAGAGGATTTGAATTGGATGAACAAAATAAAAATTTGGTACATTTACATATGAGGATCCTTGGATAAATTCTCTTTGTAAAATAATAGTCAAATTTACAAAACGGAAGAAGAAGAAGTTTAACCTGGTTGACGAGTTCATTGTAATCCTTGGGAAAATCAACACTCTTGTTGATAATCTTTGACTTCGGATCCGAACCAGATCGACTACGAACAACAAAGCTTCTAAGTCTCAAGTTCTTGCATTTCATGCTCGAAAATCTAACAAGAGGGTTAATTTGATGCAATCCAAATCCCCCTCGAGAATTTATGCTCTGCAGTAAAAAAAAAAGAAAAAGAAAAAAAAGACGCAATGAGCCCAGTTGAAATAAGGACAAATTCCACCAATAAAGACGCAAATAGTTCCAAGTGTGTTGCAAGCATGCAGACACTCAACAACAATTTGCAAAACCGCACCTCTTAGCATTTACACTGCGATACAGCACGTTAGGTTTCAAGGGCTACGGCTAACTCAGAAGATAAAGTAAGCCTAATACACATCATGCATTTGCAGTGTGCGACGTACACGTACAATCTCAACGAGACGAATCCAAATATCGAAAACCAGCAGGAACTGAAACAATACCCGAATGAAGAAAACCTCCCAGCTGCAGAAAACATGGACAAAGGCATTCCCCCCATTGCACACTGTCCAGCACACAATCTACTCTCCAGCAGGGTCGTATTCAAAGAATCGATCCTCCAGGTAACCGTATACTCGGACGAATCTCAAGTACCTCAAAAAATGGGTAACGTCGGAATTAAACCCAAATTCAGAGACAGACAGTTCTACAATATGGTATCTTCAAGAGGATTACGAATTCCACGTACAATCCAGCATCAGTGCACAGAGCCCAAAACCTGTCATGAAAGAAAGAGATGGGTGGCTACAAACCTGGGCAGATTTCGACAAGGAAACGGACGCCCGCGCGTCAATTCGAAATAATTGAATGGATCCAGGGTGACGCAAAATCGGGGAGTGCAACATCATGGCTGCAATGCGACGGTGACTGCCGAATTAAGCTGAAGTTCTTTCTCGCTCGCTCTCTCTCGCTCTCACGCCATAGCCAGCACCAGAGAAAGAGTGAGGGCTTCTACGCTGGCCCACCTCCATCCGACGAACGGCGAAGATCATCCGTGATTTCATCCAAGGGGACGCAATCCAACCCAGCAGATAAGGGGTTCCACTCACGGGAACGTATTCCATTGGGGAGGGGCACTTTGTTCCCTTGTGTGGGTGTCTGACAGAGCTTCTGGCGCCCAACATCGTTCGTTGTTGTTCGTTGTTATTTTTGTATTATAATTCTTATTATTGGAAGATGGAGATTGACTTTTTTGAATAATAATAATAATAATAATACTTGTAGTTTAACTTTCATTTTTTCGTAATGATGTATAATAAAGTGATTATGTTCTATAAGAGGAATTTTGATCAGCAGATTTTAAAACATAAATTTTTAACTTTGATGTGTCTATGTATATATGTGTGTATATACATATATATATATATATATATATATATGTAAAAAATAATTATGTAAAAATAATAGATTATAGAAATGAATGGAATATAAAAATAATAAATTATAGTAATTAAATTATCAAAAAAAAAAAAAAATGAAGTTGCTAAAGAGACACATCCATATTATTAAAGCCACACCCCACATAGACACATTCTTGCTCCCCTTAACTCATACTCTCTAAGTGCTCTCCCTTGCTGATCTTTTCTCTCATTGCTCTCTACTTGTATCCACTCTAGCTCTCCTTTGATGTTCTTTAATTATATCTAGTCTTGATTTCTCCTATCATTCTCTACTTGTACAAATACACTAAATCCTCACTCTTTATACTTTCTCCACCCAAATGTGAGTTGCTTCACTATACAATATTTTTTGAAGTATCCCAAAAATAATTGTAAATAGAAATTCCAAAAGAAATCATGATTCATGTAGCTTTCAAGATGTGGCTTTAGCAATTCTCTAAAAGAAAATAAAATTTGTAATTTTATTCATTAGATTTGTCTATTATTGTATGAATATAGGAGGTTTTTTCTTTTTTAGATGTTTTAAGTTTCTTAATATGATTAAAAATTAAAATATTCAAAGCACAATAAAAACAATTCATCCTATAAACAAATCATGAATATGGTTTATACTACAAATTGAAGATTATAATTCTCATTGTATTTATTTCAAATCTTATAAATATAAAATTCCTCCCAAGAAAGAAATACCTTTTAATTTATAATAATAATTTATTGGTATCTACTTGGATTGACTTACATGTATAATTTTGATGATTTATTTGTGGAATAATGATATAAATATAAATATAAATATCATAAATCACATGTCATTGTGTTCCATCATTGATTTTAATATAATTTTTTTATTCAATTAAGTTATTTTGATAGAGTTTTTTATTCAATTAGTTTAGTTTTGATAGATTCAACTATAATAATATCTTGTAAAAAGTATGTATAGTGCTATTAAATACAAAATATATTTGTAAAAGTAACACTTTTGTAAAATAATTTGATCTAATTGGTATATAATATCATCTCTTTAAGAAAAAAATGGTATTGTTATTTTGTTAAAATTTTGTAATATATTAAAATTGAAATTTAAGTTATATTATCACTTTATATAGAAATAAATTTATCATAAAAAAATAAAATTAGCTAAAAATTTTAAAAAATCTATAGATATTATAATTAATCAAATTAAAAATATTCATGTTAAATTTTATAAGATTCTTTATTAAAATACTACCAAATAATTCATATAATTTTATTTATAAAATAGCATATATATATATATATATATATATAATATCGAATACAAAATAAAAGTTTAACTTATAGTTTTTAATGACCTTTTATAGAACAAATAAAAAACTAGACTAAAAAAATACACAAAAATTAATTTTAAAGTATGTTAAAAAGATTGAGATTTGCCTCAATTTGAACTTCTTATTTGTATTCTAAAACCAAAATCATATATAATCTTCTATTCAAAGTTTTAAATGGACATTAAATTTTCTAAGAAATTATTTTTGAATAATAAAATAAATTTATGAATATTACAATTATTTCATTAAGCTATGAAGGATTTTAATAGTGATTTTCAAAAGTCATATAAGGTTTCATAAGGATACAATAGATTATTTTAATTTGATTTTGATGTATATTTGTCATGATGAATTTTTTAATTGGCAAATTTATTACTTGAGCTTTTTGAATTACTACTAAACAAGAGACAAGACCTTGCAAGGCTATATACAACACACATAATAATAAAAATAGAAATAAGGCATAATTTATTACTTAATCAAAATCACATAGCTTCTAGCCTCACTATCTAATTTGTCATACTACTACTTAGAATTTACTAAGTATTATACTAATTCTCAACTACTATGTTATATTTTTTTTAATCTTTAAATATCCCTCTATCTTACTGCATCCTTGATAACCTTATCTTCTTATTTATTGCTCCTCTAACGCCGTGTCATTGGGATATTTTGGTAGATATCATCTATGGATAGATATAAGATCCTTTGATGGATAAACCATCACAAATAGGTGGAATTATCTTAGGTGAGTAATATTTCATTACCCTCCTTTCTCTCCTTCATTTTTTTCAAGATATCTCAGATTCTATTTTCAAATTGTTTGCAATGCACGGAAATGTTTTGACATTGTTTTGCAAGATCAAAGTCAATTATTAATGATAATTCTTATCTATTGTATAATTTTTGTGTTATTACAGCAAATTCTCAATGTATACAATGATGTTTGTTTTAGATTTTTAATATACATTGATAGAAGTTAGAAATAAACTTAATTATTTATTTCTTATAGAACAAATAATTCATCAAATTAATATGCATGGCATACCTTTCTTTAAGGTATAAATGTTCAGTAAAATATTTTGAAATTATGCATGTTGCTTCTAATTGTCACGGACATACTCATAATTATATACAAATAGGTAGAAGTAAATAAAAGTAGGTAAAAGTAAGTTAATTCTATAGTATTTGATATGGAAGCTTTTTAGAAGCTTCATAGACGCTGCTTTGACTTCATAGGTGTCTTTAATTGGCTTTTTGGTTCAGAAACGTGATCAACAAGTTCGCAATGTGCCACACATGTTGTTAGCTTGAAGACCAAGCTAACTATGTGGCCCACACGTAGAAAAACTTACCTTGTAAGTCAAGGCATGTGTCCTACAAAGTCAATACATGTAGGAGGTCCTATAGAACGTCGCCACAAAGCCCTTAGTTAGATAGTATATATAGAGACAAGAGTGAAGGCTTCTTCACTCTTATCAATTCTTTTCTTGCTTCCAATCTAGTTTCAAGAGTTTCTAGTTTTCTTGGCTTTTTGGCAATAACCATTCTAATCTTTTTTTTAATGTATTTATCAAGTTATTTCTATTTTTTCATCTTTCTTTGAGAGAAGTCTCATTCATTTATTTGTCTTTATGTCAAGGACAAAGTCTCGATGAGGGAAAATATACACAAAAAGGCTATCTCGATACAATAAGTCAAAATATAAACAAGTAGGTATATTAAAAGGAAACTGGAATGGCTATTGCCACAAGACAAGAAACTAAAGACTCTTGAACCTGGACTAGAAGCAAGAAAGGAATTGACGAGAGTGAAGAAGCCTTCACTCTTGTCTCTATATATACTATCTAACTAGGGGCTACGTGGCGACGTTCTATAGGACCTCCAATATGTGTTGACTTTGTAGGACACATGCCTTGACTTACAAGGCAAGTTTTTCTACGTGTGGACCACATAGTTAGCTTGATCTTCAAGCTAACAACATGTCTGGCACATGGCCAACTTGTTGAACACGTTTCTAATCCAAAAAGTCAATTAAAGACACCTATGAAGTCAAAGCAGCGTCTAGGAAGTTTCTAGGAAGCTTTTATATTAAATATTATAGAATTAACTTACTTTTATCTACTTTTACTTACTTCTACCTATTTCTATATGTAATTATTAGCTTATATGATTATGGCCGTGACATTACCCCCCCTTCTAGAGACGAGTTCCACGAGGAGCGGTCATCATATGTTGAGGAAATCTATGATGCGACGAATTATATTCGCCACATACTCTGATCTCTGTTCTCTTCGAAGATGATTGATAGGGCCTCTCAACCATCGGTAGTGTCCCATACCAGGGCGGGAAGACCACCCAGTTATTTGATCATTGTTGAGGCCTTCGTAACTTCCTTCGAATAGAATATTTGGAACACCATCAGGAGTTGTTCCTACCTCTAACAAAATCACCAAACATCGGGAGTCCCTTCCTAAATCGTGATACCAAACACGTTGTATCTCACCATCTATTCGAGGAAGAACATGTCGTTCTTGAAGATGTTCATCTCGATTGCGTCGTCTTGAAGGTTGTGACAATCGTAATGTCTCGTCCGGCAGGTCAACAAACGAAGGTTCTTGAGTTGAATCCGTTGGTTGTTGGCTCTCTATCTAATTAGCTTCACAAATGCAAAGAAGTTACAAACAAGGATAGAAAATTGAATGTTATCTTGCCTAAATCTTGTCTCTCTTATAAGAGAGATTTTCATCTTGATTTCGATGGATGTCGTTGATGAAAAACTTTGACTTTAGCTGATGCATTTGCTAGATTCCTGGATGGCTCCCATGTGCGTTCACTAATATCATATCCGCGCCAATGAACAAGATATTCTAGCTTATTTCGGCGCTGCCTTGAGTCTAATATCTCTTCTACCTCAAATTCTTCATTATTATCTACTTCTATAGGAGGCGGTGGCATTTGTCTTCTTCCTTGTATATCCATTGTCTTATATGGTTCAAGAAGAGACACGTGGAATACATGATGGATCTTCATTGACTC